CTTGTGCAGAAAACATTAATCTCCTGCTTATTATTATACATAAAACAATTTAAAGAAATAATACTAGCCCAAAGTTGCATGTTCAAAGAAAAATTGAATTAATGTCCTTTTGGTGTGATTCTCCGTTAGAAACTTTTCTTCTGTGTAGTGATACGTTTTCAAACTATTGTGTTGTTCATAAGAAAATGTGTACTCAGTATATTATTAAAACCTTGGGACATGCAGGATTTGTCCTACAAATCATGCAGTTTTAGTATGCGGTATGTTTTATTATTTGTTTTCTTTTTCCAAACACAAAATTAGTATTTTGTAAATTTCTTACTTATTTAGACAGTCTGTGTAACACACTTTTGTTAAGACTGAGGTAGGAAGGAAATTTAGATAATTGTTAGCTGTCACCAGAGGACTAAGGCTGAGGATTTCCAGTGCTAAGGAGGTTAAAAAGACTGTTATTAGCAAGGCCAAAGCCTAACCTGGGGCAACATAAAAGGGTGAAGTGTGATATCACCTGTTATTTTACATTTATTTTATATAACCTGAAACTCAGAATTTCTGATGATGATAACTGGCCTTAGTAATAGAATTGTAAGAGTTGGTGACAGCGGTCTAATGCCCTTGTCTCCTGATCAGAGGAAGAAGCATTCCTAGTCTGAAGGCTTTTCCAACATTTATCTATACAGTCATCACATGTGTTACAAAGGGAGAGACTTCAAAATCTGAAGTATTATTACTATATTAAGATGATGATCATTATTTTTGCTCCTGATTTAAGAAATGCATGTATTAAAATGACTACTACTGTATGTAAATGAATAGATGAATGAATAAGGAATCGTACAGCATTCTGTACATGGATGACCAACAAATTATACTCCAATAACATGTTCATTTAACATAGATATTTCCTTTCTAGAACATTTGTGAAGGTATTGGAGTCACCTGGCATTCACGTAGATTTTTTTAAAAAGATTTTTTGTTTTTCCATAGATTTCATAGTTATGAAGTCAGCAAAATTACATCTTTGTTTAACCCTGAAGATCTAGAAATCACCTCTCTGTCTCTTTTTTCTCTGCAGCATCTGACACTATATTCCACCTGGAACTGAAGCAGAAGAGTGGATTACCAACCCAGGGTCACTTTTGGAAAGCAAACTTCCACCTTGGGGTACAAGTAGTAATTGGAGAACACGGGGAATGGGGGGAGGGAGGCTGAGATCCTTTCTTCCACTTTCTACATCCTATTGCAGTAAGTATTCAGTGCTGTTGAACTCAGACCAGCTGCATGTCTTTATGTTATTAATTGATGTCAGTGTGAGTGTTATGCAGTGGGTTGTACAGTCCTAGCTGTGACCTAGGGCATATAGAGGCAAAGCATTTCATCTCTGCCAGAAGGTCGACAATAATGAGCTACAAGGTGCCTTGTGCCCCCAGTCGTACTCATAATCTTCTCTGCAGGAAGCTGTGAGATACACCAGCTGCCCCTGATTTCCACACAGGAGTGGCACACTCTCTGCCTCGAAGGGCAGTGGTAGACGAGCTCTTGTTCTGCCTCATACGAATAGATGCGAATGGGAAGAAGATACAAGATTTCAAATGAGAAGACAGACCACCTAGTTCACCGAGTTGATTAATTGATGCAAGGGTCACGTCCAGAAAGTTTTTCAAAGACGCCAGGGCATCAGCTTTGACAGCATGACTAGGCAGCTTGTTTCATACTTGCACCTTAGCTCTAGGCGTCAAAAATACAATTTCATCTCTCACTCTGGTTCACAGATTTAAGGCCATCTTTGTTATATTGGCTCAGATTAAGGTTAATTAGCAATAGAATTAGTGTTTGCTGTCAACCAGCTCTGATGAATGTGATCCAACAGCAGTCTCAAGACTAACTGTGGACTGGGCTGTACTTAATAGGTGTCACAGCAGTAGTCTTTAGGTCTCTTGAGCAGGCTGTCGTAAGACACTAATTACCCTTGACTCTTTACTCAACACTTTATCTTCTGCTTTTGCGCTAAGCTTCTTGTACTCTGTTAATGTTGTAGTGGATGCATTGTTGGCCTACACTTCTGTACCTGCTTGGACGTTGTATCTATTTCCAGCACTCAAGTCACATCATGCCATTCATCTGCAGCAGGAATTCATTACCTAATTATTAAGAGATTCAAAGACTGTCAAAATTTTTCTAAACTTGCTATACTTTAATTGAAGTATATAATACACAATTACAAGCCAAGTAAAAGGTCAAGGCAAGTCAATTTGTATTATTTTATTTTTGTTTCTATCGTGTGTTGTAGGAGCTCTACACTGATTTGAAATTCTTTAAAACACAAATAAAATTGTATGAATCACTATGATAATAAAAACACAATAGGTATCTGTCAAATTTCTTTAGTAAAGGCCAGAGAAATTCAATTGATTTATAGCAAACTAAATCTCCACTGGTTTACTACAGAGAGCCAAACCCTATTTAAATGCCAAGTGTTTGGCACTTACTGCTGCTTCAGCTTCACAATATCAAGGACTTGCTGCCTGATCTCTATAAATCTCAGAAGCTAAGCAAGACAGGGCCTAGTTAGCACTAGGACAGGAAACCTCTAACGCAGGATTTCATTCCACATCAGTTCCACATCTGAGTTAAATCAGATAGCTGCTGGTTTCATTGGACTAATTTAACAACCTTTCCCGGCTCCTTACATGCTATTGTTTTAAAGATACCTAGAAAACCTGCAGACACACTGGCCATCCAGACCCAGGATTGGACAACCCTGTTCTAGATAAAACGAGGTTGCCATCATAATCAGTTTTGGTAGACATCTCCCACCCACCCCAGAATCCAGAATTTCCAAAACCAATGCCTCAATACAGTGATGGGGAACACTATGTTATAGGAATTTCCATCCTTCAGATGATAAACGTAATGTAAACTGACGTTGGGTTATTAAATATATTTACGCATGTAAATAAGACGCATGTGGCCTGGCTTACCTCTTGTCTTGCCTTATCCCATCTCGCTTCCCTAATGTTCTCGACTGGTAAAACGATTTCTTGCTTCTCCAAATGATCTGCTGAATCCTGCAGGATTGCTGTGTTGTCTAGTTCTCATTCCATGTACTGTTAATGATTAGACTAACTGGTCTTCATTACTACTATTCGCAGCTCTTTTGTTATTGAAGAATACAAGTTACAAAAGAGACTGGTGCTCCTTTCAGCATTTTTCCTGCCTGCCACCTACTGTCTTCCCAGGTTAAGTTCTTTCTTTCTGCAACCCTGCATTGGACTATGGTTACATACAGAAGACCTGGTGAACTGTAGCCCTCCAGGATCAGGAATGAATATCTCTGGCATATTTTCACTTCAGTGGTGGATGAAGTGTGATCCCTGCGATATACAATACAGGAAAAACACTACAAAAATTCAGCTGTTACTGACATTTCTTATATTATAATGAGATTGTTAGCAAGATAAACCCCAGGTCCATCTTTACGTTCTGAACTTTCAAAAAATATTAAATTGTTATCCATAAAATCCATCATGGCACTTTTTAAATGTATAATAAAGATGGATCATCTGCTGCCAGGAGCTGAAAAAAATCCTTTTTTAAGATGCACACAATCTGACTCCAAAATTTTTATAAACTGCAAGCACAGGGTAACTTCCAAGATCATGTTGGCAAGCAGTTGGGACCACACATGACTTACCACAAAAAAGGAGCTGAGTGTAATGACATCTGCCCAAGACTGATTAATGATACATCTTTGTGATTTGCACCTAAGCTGCTCAGTAAACCACTCCCTGCACATTGTAGGAATAGTGCCATTATTTTTTTGAAGTGTCGGTGAAAAAGCTGGTCGTCAAGCATGGACTTTTTTTTTGTTCTTGTTGAATTACCCCATGTTGCTTGTTGACTCATCCAAGTAAGACTTATCTGGGCAAACCTATACATTCCCTGTAACCATATTCAAGCAAAAAGGGTGACGTTTAATTTTAAATGAAATGGAAATTAAATTGCCTGTGATTGGTGTGTAGCTTTATGTTATGGACAGTATTGAACAAACATCAGAGCACATGTCAAGTGAATGTTTTTCTTTTTGTTGATTTTTCATATTACTCCAAATCTACTGAAGTGCGCCTGGTTCAACAGGATTGTATTTTAACTAAGCGTTCTGGACTCTAAAGGTTGTGTGATTCCAGAGGGGACACTGCTATTTATGTAGTTTTGAGCAAGGTTTCTCAACCTTTTTTTTTATAAATCAGTTTTATAAAACATTATATAACATTTATATTATAACATTTTATGGAAGCATGAACAAACATTTTTTTAACATTCAGTTCTCTTTCTATAAACAGGATGCCACACCAAATTCTCCATAACTTACTGTGTCCCAGAACCATATCAGCAATAGAAGCATATGTAAATCCTACAGAAGCACCTCAATTTATTAGCAATTCAAATATCTCTGAACGCCATTTTATCTGATCTCTTTTAAATAGCCTTTAATCAACAAATTACACATCATTTTGACCAAGGCCGAATATGGAGAAAATACAGATCTGCCAAAACACTATGCAAATTAATGAGCCAATAACTCAGGTCGGTGGTGGTAAACAGATTACAAATGGCCAGGATGGTGCAAGATGAAATTTTCTCTCCAAGCTTTATGATCCAAGGAGGTAATAACTCACAAACAGTATTTAATCTACAGCACATTAATGTAGTAGCAACCTTTCTCTGTAAATTAAGGACTCCTTAGTAACAGTAGACCATGATTACAGAAGTGTATTATGAAGTTGTATTGCTGGGAGAAGTATCAGTTTGACAAACATTTGCAAAACTCCAGCTAGACCTGGATAAAAAATCCAGAAATACCTATGGAAGAGAAAAAGGTGGAAATGAAATGTACATGTAATTGTGCGTAGCTTCCAAGATTTGTGGTTCAATAATATTCTAGCATTGTGTACAATTTGTCCAAGAAATTGTTAACAAAACTGATCGATTAATCTGAGAACTTTGAGAACTTCCTTTTATTTATACCAGAAACAAGACCTATAGTACATTTGGCATGAGTAGATGCATACTTTTTGACAAAACATGCACATGCGCCATTCAGTCTCTTGGGTCATTAATATAATTCTTTGTATCATTCAAGTCTCCAAAGTTACAAAATTCTTGTGTAAAATAAGCTTTAGTGAACCATATCACAATTCAAAATAGGACAGCAAAATGTACCACTTGCTTTGAAAGCATGACTTCACTTTCATGAAAAGTGTCATAGTATTTTTAACATGTTTATACACACTTTTTTTTCACTTTTCAGTGAAACCCATTAATGAATATCAGGGAAACACCTCACAGACCACTTTTTTCTTGAACAAAAAATATTTTTGTTACCTCAAATCAAAATACCTCATTTTAAATAAGGTAACAATTCAAATCTGATGCATAAACACATCTGTCCGTCTGGGTTAGTGCTTATTTCTGTGCAACAAAACCACAATGCAAAGGATAATAGGATCAAAGGAATTGGACAACAGTCATGGAAACTGTCCAGTACTACAGGTACACAATCAGTAAGAGATTCCTCTGTGTCACCCCACTACAGCAGCACTAGTCGCATTTGCTTTCTAGCCACCGCAGGAAGGCGAGACAACCTGTGATCCTGGAGCTAAAAGCCTATTTTACAAAGAGTTACCTGAAAACAGAGGATCTTTAGTGCTGATGGAAAAGACACCAGAGGTACTGAAAATAAATAAACATGGACAGCATTATTCAATACTGTATTCCTTTCACAATGCCAAGGAGAAAGATTCCACTCTAAGTTCATGTTCTACATTGAAAAAGGAAGTTGAGCCCCACAAATTCATGTCACATGCAAGTTAAGCTAATTGTTGCAATCAAGTCTCCAAGTTTCACTTGAGAGCATTAGTAGACCCTTGCTGGTCTGCAAAATCGATGTCATCAACTGACATTCCTTTAATTTGCGATCTGACTGCAGAAATATTCTTGTGTGAGCAGATGGTATTAATTCATGAAACAAAATGACATGAATGCCTTTCATATTTTATTCTAATAACTTTAATTACAGTGCTTATCTGTCAAAATGAAAATAAGTTTACATAAAAAACAATTGAGTAAATAAGAAAAAAGTCACACTATGAAATAAAAAAACCCAAAGAGAAAGACCCACAAATTAATTCCAGACAACTTAATCTTCAGTGTTGATCAAAACAGGAAAAAATAGGCTTTTTGGTGAAATGGCAAATCTGACCTTGTAGCTCAAACGAAATCCAGCTGCACTGAAAAGACCGGATTTAGGTGTTTACATAACACTTGAATGGAATGACTTGAAAAGGTATTTTTGGTAACTCAACTAAGTTAAAAAAAGCAGTAAGTCACTATGAATATTTTATCCAGAACTCATGAAGCAAAAAAGGGATCTGCAGAGAAAATTGTCACTGGTAAGTTTTAAAAGAAACAATTATTGGACTCTTGGCCTGTTTACATCATTAAGCTTTTAGAGACCTGAAAGACACTCCATGCATAATCCAGCCCGACCTTTATTAACTTTAAAAAAGGCAAAAATTAAGCCATCAGTCCTTTCAAATGACAAACTGCAGAGGCTCATGAAAGAACCAACAGGATTTAAAATGAACTTCGCCTTGGCATTAGCATCACAGACTGTGGTTAATTACATGGTAACTACACAGTATGCATCAGGCAACGCCAAGCTTGTCTGAAGTTTTAAAGCATGACTAATACCTGCTGAGTTTAATGTAACCACTTCATTGAGAGTAGTGCATCTGTGCGCTTTCACAGGCTTCCTTCACTTTCAGTGACAGATAAGATTCAAGATTGCACCACTCATACAGTACTAGAAGTTAAAAATCAGCATCCAATTAAAAGAAAATCTCAACATGGAGATCAGAAAATGGAAAGAAACTGGATACTATTAAAACTGTCATATGGACCTTTCTAAATAAGTATTTGCGAGGATCTTATATTCCTTTTCCAGTACTACAGAGGTACGTCAGTCAAAATTTGTACAAAAATGGACGAGAAAAAGAATAAAGGCTGAGTAAATATTGCATAGGAGTGCCAGAAGCTGCCTCATTACAAAAAAGACTATTTACATTAAATAAGAAATCTAACTGCTTCTGAGCTCGTTCCCCCCACAACTAAAAGGTGTGGCTTCATAATACATATTGTGACAACAGAAATGAAATGAGGTCGGCTTCCGGCACTCAATACCACAAAGTAGTACAGTTTGCCACATCAGAGAATAAAGCAGGAGGAAGGAGAGGAGATGAGGATGGAAAGAGGACACAAGACTGGAGTTATTTCTGGGTTCGGAGTTGATTAGACAACCAGTCCAGTCCTTCATAGAGACCATCGCCACTGGTGGCACAGGTGGCCTGGATGTACCAGTTCCTGTGACGGAGAGAATGCAGTCCAAGCTTGTCTGTGATTTCTGCTGCATTCATTGCATTTGGAAGGTCCTGCACAATGGAAAGAAAGCATACTTATTAGAATTAAAGGTGATAAAATCAAGACAATGTACTTAATATTGCTTAGATTCAACCATCAGTATGTGCGATACAAGTATTATGTTTTACAGCGAAGCACTTATAATCAGAATAACGGCTAAATTAAACATTCTAAATCACACTAACAGAAGCACACATTTCTATAACATTCAAACAAGATAAATAATTGAAAAAGTTAAATTGTTCATGTACAACAAAAGGCATTACATACTTGTCTATTCAAAAGTCAGCTGGAAGAGTCTAAGGTTATAAGGACTAGATTATTAAATACTAACTGCTTGCTTTTTCACCATTAATATTCTATTTGTTCTTGCACGCAGCTTTATAATACTTATATAGAAAGCAATAACATACACAGAAGAGTAAAGCCTTGAAATGAAGAAAGTTAAAACATACCTGCTTATTTGCGAACACTAGTAAAACAGCATCTCTAAGCTCATCTTCCGCTAACATTCTCATTAATTCTTCTCTGGCTTCATTTACTCGTTCTCTATCGTTACTATCTACCACAAAGATTAAACCTGTAATCAAAAGAATATTTATTAAGACCAGGTTGCATAATGTGCAAAGTTGTACAAATCTATACGCCATTCATCACAAGGCAGCAGTATGTTTTGAATATCTAGTCAATAATACTGTGCTAGTTTTTTTTTCCAAGATGCTTTTAATATTGAACAGTTAATGTATATAACAGAGTAGTACTTATAGAAAGGGTTGTGGGAATATGAAACTATCAGGCCATGCTGTTGAAGCCAATACCCTTACTTATTTAAAAAAACAGCTGGTTGAAATTCTTAGATTAGTTAGCTACTAGTAAACAAGCTAAAAATCCACATTACTTGCTGATTTGTAGCTTCTCAAGTTCTCTGATTATTAATATAAAATAATTGAATAGATTGTCAAGGCAGAAAATCAGCTCCAAAAGCTGATATAATGGATATATTTAACACTGTTTTGCTGTATAATGTTAGTACAATCAGTACACAAGAGATAACAAAACCATCTTCTTCAAAAGTTCAGACATACGGCCAACTCTTAAGTTTTTTAATCTCGGCAGTAATCTTTAGCTTGTTACAAATGTTTAGAATCACATTTTGAATTGGTCACAATATCAAATTCTATCTAGCTCAGTAAAAGGCTACTAAATGGCACACAAATAACTTAAGCATGTGATGCTGTAAGTGACCATATGAGTGGTTTCTATGCCGTTTGTGACATTTAGGTAAACCTTTGAAATCATGCTTTTTGTATCTGTTAGCGAAAGGCATAAGAGGTATGCAATCATGTACAACCACAATCCTAATTCTCATCCCGGGGGTGTTTTTCCAAGTAACGTTAGTCATGCAACAACGTTTATTTAACCCATGAGCTATGTTCATTTTCAAGTTTGCAGATCCAAGAATCTTTTCCTGCATTTAACAGTTGCTGCCACCAAATCCACATAATCGTTTCAAATAAGTTCCTTGACGCACTCAACTTTTTCCATGCGTACAGCTCACGCAATAAAGCAAACCCTGCAATTTCTTAAATAGAAACGACACTGTAAAGAAAGCATTTTTTCAGACTTAATTTTAGGAAACATAAGTACAAATTGACGAGTTCCAAGGTTTAATTAATTTAGTTATATTTATGAAATATACAAAGTCATCCTGTTTCAGGTAGATTTACCATGTTAACATGTCCTGTCCATTTTTAAATATATTCTTTACTTCTAGCATTATATTCAGCTTACCAGTATGAAGTAAAAGAGAACACTAGACAGTCTACAGTTAATTCACAAATTGGCGACACGCGTTGTTTTATCTTGCTTTTGTTTGTACTGAACTGTTTAACAATATTATTTGCAAGCAAATTAATATGTTTAATGTGCAAAAACATTTTAGACATTGCTTAAGAGCTCCAAAGCAAAATTATTTTTTAATTTTTCAGTTTTCTGTAATATTTATATCTAAATTAATAATTTTAGTACACATTTAAACTTTTAATGATACTTGTAGATCACCTTTTAATATTTAAGAATTTATCATTACATAAGAAAACTAAGGTATTTTCCTATTTCTCTAAAACCTAAAAACAACTGGTTACAGAGTACCAAGCTAATGTTAACTGCGTAACTACTGAAATGATATCAGATAATTACAAAATTAAACTTAACTGCATGCAACATAATTTGAATCCTCAGCTAAAACTATCAAGTGGTTTCATTGTAATCTTTGCAAATTTTTAATTACAAAATGCAATCTGCAGCATGGTAAGGAACTGAAATAAAGCACATTAATTCGTAAATATTAACATTAGTTTACCACCCACTTTGTAAGTAGAAAAATTCAAATTCCAATGCAACAAAAGGTATTTGAATATGCTGGAAGATTTGTCACTTTCCAACTTCCGTTGTAGTGTTTTCCTTATAAGATTTAACATGACAATTAAGTTTTATGAATATGGCCTAAAGAGATTAAATTAATCCTAATATTAGGTCAAATAAGAGTTCAGATCAGCTTGACCTTAAAACCTGCAGATATATAGATACACAGAATAGAGGCTGAGAAGGCTGCTTAAGAAACAGTGCATTTCAGTAGTATGCTGGCTCTGATTTCTGGGCATTTCAGTCTCTAACAAAGGTTCATTCTTCAAGGCTTGCCTTTATTCATGTTACCACACTAAGTGACTGTTCCACAATTTGTCTTATGTTGGATATTTTCCATTAAACACACTTGTACCTGTCTGGGAAAAGATAAAACTTACCCTGCGTGTTCTGGAAGTAATGACGCCACAGAGGTCGAATTTTATCCTGACCACCTACATCCCACACTGTGAAACTTATGTTCTTGTATTCTACTGTTTCAACATTAAAACCTGCAAAGCAAAGAAAAACCTCTTATTAGACATCTCTGAAATGAGAAAACGTGGTGTAAACACAGGTTTTCAACAAAACTTCAAGAAATACCAAAGTACTAGTTTTGCCAACAGAAGCGGTCCAAGATGTCTTTTAAAAGTGTATTTTGTCAACTATGTTCAAAAGCGGTTTTCATGTTAGTGTTATTTACTAACATAATAAATGTAATTGGCTAATAATGTATTTCTCCCCCTCACAAGATTATTGGTAGTATTCATCCAGGGATAGAAATGGGTGGTATAGAATCACAGTTTGAGTTAAGTTTTCAAGTAACTGTAAAACATATTTACAATTCTATTTTAATTCTACTCTGAAACTTATTACCTGACAGATAGCGTAAAGACCATAGGCAACCATATACAGAAAGAGGTCTGATTCACTTAATTTTTTTAACTCTACAGACATAGAGGGCAAGAGAGAATGATATGAATTTGGAGACCTGGAAAAGAAACTTGGAGTAAAAGTGGGTATTACCTACAATATGAGAGTACAAAGTTTCTGTCACCATCAGTTCTCAAGACGAATCTTGTAAAATTAAAATATTTGTATCCTTTTGATGGAGCAAATGATTCTACAAGTATGGATATAGTGCTATAGCCTGGGCTGCAAAGACATTCTACTAAAATAGTTTACTAAATTTTGTTTCATGCTATTCAAGTCATGAATCAACTGAAATATGCGAAAATTTAATTATATTTGAAAAATATTTTTTTTATTTTACATGTTGGTGCTTATTATTCTCATCTTAATAAGGGCTCCAGGCCCTGTAAATACAAACATAAAATTTAACAAACCCGTCCCATCATATTCCACAGTGGACACGTGTTTTCTCAATATGACATTTTACACCAAAGAGTGCCAATCAGCATACGTAAAAAGTTAAATTTTTATTTCATCAGATCATACGACATGATTCCAACTGTCATTGGATGTCATTACATAATTAGAGGTGGCTTTTTTCTGCTTCCTTGCAACTAAACCTTGAATGCTGTACCCATGCAGGCAAAGTAAAATGATTTTTGACATTTTGTGTCCTGAAGATGCAAGTCTGTGCTGGAAATCTTCAACTGCAGACTTTGGATTTTCAGTTACCACAGGAGTAGTTGTGACTATGGTGACAACACATACTTGCAACCTCTTCCTGGCAGGGTTGCCTGTATCCTAGTAACATTAAATGTCTTAATAATGGACACAACAGTGAAAAGGGGCAGATCCAGCTTTTTGCGAATTCTTTTATAACCATCCCCCAATTGTGTGAAGATCTATGAACATTTGCCTGCACTATTCACAGGGCTCTCTGACAATAATGCTGCTGCTACTACTTAATGTTTTCCATCCCAGAGAAACATGACACCTTCAGAGGCCACTGTATAGTTGTGAAAGATTTCACTTCAATTGCATGTTACAGAAGGTGTGTGAGGTTTAAATAAATGTGACTCCCATGCTTTCCCATGGAATTTCATTATGTGACAAATATGCATCATACAGTGTAATACTATTACAATCAAAGATAATATTTTTAGAGTTGTTTACAGCAAGATATCCAACCTGTTTCTTATTCAGGTTTCACAGCCATTATTATTACATATGGATGGCACTGTAATTTTTGCTCATCAAATGGAGCCAAGAGTAACCTGAGTAACCTCTGCATGCTTGGCAGTTCAGTACCTGTCCAAGTTACTATCGTCCTACTCCCCACATCGCAACCTTCGCTGTTCTTATTCGGGTCTCCTATCACCCAAGCATGTCTACACTCTATGGGTGACAGGGCCTTCTCCTGTTATGCCCCAAAGCTCTGGAGCTCTCATTCCAAGGATACCAGTGAGACACCTTCTCTAAACTCCATCAACTCTTAGACTCAAAACCTTCTTTACCCCTCTGCTCCTACAGCATTCAGTACCCCCCATCTATTGTCTCTTCTCATTGTGGACATATTGTGTATATTTTTTATTGTTGTTGTCATTCTGTAAAGCACTTTGAGAAGCCACCTTGGAAGACGAGATATCAAATAAAGTCTATTATTAACCACTTACCTATAGTGGGAATAGTAGTCACGATTTCACCAAGTTTAAGTTTGTAAAGAATGGTTGTCTTTCCAGCAGCATCTAGGCCTACCATGAGAATTCGCATTTCTTTCTTGCCAAATAGGCCTTTGAAGACACTTGCAAATACATTTCCCATGGCTGAAACACAAAGTGTCCAACACTGGCCAAGGAAAAATCTGAAAGCAAAGAGATGAGAATAATTAATAATCTCATACTGACAGATGAATGAAGCACAAAAACTTTCAATTTCTTATGTCTACTCTGAAAGGGTATATAGAGCAAAGGAAATACAAATTGATTCTCAACTGATTCTATCACTTTTACAAGTATCATAAGGCAAAATTGACATTTAATTCCAAGGCAATTACCATCCCTCACAAATTTTGTTAAATCTAGATGAATTGGTAAATTCACAGCAGTTCAGAAATAAGAATATCCCAACGGTAAAGAACAAAATTTCTTGCAATAGGAAAGGATTATGCTAAAGACAATATTGACTACATATCAGACATAGTTTAGAAAAGACAGGGCTATAAGCTTTAACATGGTTTAAACATGGTCTATGGCTCTTGAGATGTTCTGACCATCCAAATGCCACAAGCAGAATTTTAGGTTTTACAACAAAGCTTCTGGAACATTAAACGGTTAGAAAAAGAGGCACAACTGCCTCCTGCATACATTGAAACTAGGCCTTCCAATCTCTTTTGTTTGCACAAAACAATTGCTAACCCACTGTCAAATGACTTAGCCATCAGTAACATGTAGCACGTGGAGGAGGGGGGGGATTAAATCATAGAACAGACCTAGTTATGGTTGAAAAGAAAGTCTTTCACATACACACAAAAGCAGAAGCTGACAAAGTTGTTCTAACCATGTTCCACAAGAATTCCACTGTAAGCAGAAGCAACAGTAGCATAATCCAGCCTGGTTACAATTGTACTGAGGGAAATGTGTCTAAAGAGTTTTCACTTGGACCTAAAACCAAGAATGCTTATCTATCTATCTAAGGAAACTTCAGAGACAATTATGGAATAAAATGGCAAAAACAAAGCATTCCTAATAATGAAACATTTATAATAATGTAATGTATAATAATGTTTCTTTATTAGCCCTATACAATTTCTTGCATTAGGAATTTGTCTTTTCGCATACCCCAGCTTTTCTCCATGGAGACACAGACACACAGACACAGGGAGAGAAGCTTGGGGTCAGAGCGCCCCTGGAGCAGTTAGGGTTAAGGGCCTTGCTCAGGGGCCCAACGGAGTAGGATTCCTCTGCCGGCCACGGGATTTGAACCGGCAACCTTCCAGTCACAGGCGCAGATCCTTAGCCACAGAGCCACCGCTCTGCCCCGTATACTATTTATACTAGTATACTTATCAAAAGTAATAGTATACAAAAGCAGCATTGTACACGTATGTATACTGAGACCATGACTGTTATTTTCTTATGGCATACTATATCTGACTAATTAATGATAATGATAATGAATGCAAGCTACAAAGGGAAAAATATTTCTGCATTAAGTATTGTGTTCCATCAAGAGTTTACTTTTTCAAGACCACCAGTATTTCCACAGTATGGATGAAAGCATCTGAAAAACACACTTTTAGGTTTTTTGCCACCTTGTAAAAACAAAAAAATAACATATACTATCAGGAACTGTTGATGGCAAATGATGTGCTTATTACTGCATGAATAAATTCTGCACATCCATACATACTAGACAGTGTTGGATTCTGAACAACTCACTGATCACAGGATTAATTCAATCACCCCTCTTTCACAGGTCTTCTTGTAGTTGTTACATTTCCTTAATTCACATTCCAAAAGGGGCCTTTTATTGCCAACTCCAGCTCTAGCACAAGAGTAAAATACCCCTATGTCTTGTTTAAGAAATAAATATCAGATAAGTAGAACTAAAAACTAGATAACTTGTTTAGTGATGTTACCCCACAGAAATTCTGCTTTTTCAGTTATGCAACACAGATGTCTGCGAGTTATAACTGGTTTGTTATGAAGAATGCTTCATGGCCGGCTATACAGCCCAGTGCTACGTTTAGGTAGATGTAGACCAAAATGTCAGATTTTTTTTATAGCATGGAATTCAAGTGATAAAACAAGATGTCGGAAGCTTGTGGGGTGTCCTGGTCTTGCACCTCTTCCCAATATATTTTTCTGAACTGACAAGTTGACAGCATTTTACAAGCAATCAGAAGATTGTGCATCCTACAAAAGCTTAAAAAATGGAGGCTATTAAATTAATTCATTGACAAGCTACCCAAAAATACACCGTCAAAAAAAGGTTTATAGCAAAAAAGTTGAATATACCCCATGGACTGTATGAAGTAGGCTAAACAACTTGAAATGTTAATTCAATTATTTCCAGCTAAACATCTCTCCATGTTAAGGACTATACTTTCATGTGAAGATGGTACAGCTGTGGGTGAGGGCATTTGCATTCCCCAATGATGGTAAAAATCAGTTAGCTGAAATAACCACCCACCTAACAGTGAGGTCATTTCAGATGTTTCAACACAGCTCCACATAGCTGCACAAGGAAAAAACACCTCAACAAGTTAGGGCATGGAAGAAATTAACGTGGTGTCAGGTCTGAAGATGTCTTAGGGAAAGTGCACTAAGGAAAGGAGGCACGTCTTCACACAAATAGTGGTGGGACAAGGTAGCGAGCTATGTTGTTACAGCTGCTGCCTTGGCTTCTTTTAAGAAACAGCTGGATGAGATCCTCCAATGAACTCCTAACATATGTACAGGCTAGATAAACCGAAAGACTTCATTTTAAACCTCTCACACGCTTATTTGCTATTGTCATCCTATTAAGGAAATAAAACAGCTAGCATATTGTTCACACTCTCAAATTGCTAGGCCTTTGAAAGTGATCACGGAATGTTCCACTCTGTGTGTGTGTGGGGGGGGGGGGACACTGAAAAATAAAAAAAAGACTTCAATGGAAATGGAAGAACGCTGGCGGTAACTTAATAGTACTGGCAAATGATCAGTGATAAGCAAAATACGTTATTTCAAAACCGCGCCCAGGTTTCTATGCTGAGATCTTGACTTGCCTGAAGCTTATTTTAGCCAGGGGAAGGCAATGCGATAGGAACAACCACGACTGTAGCCTGTAGAGAACGAAACGATGGTTTTGCGATGCTGGGCCAGGAGTCGGGCTTGCTAGCCTCCTGCACTGCCCAGCGCTCGCGCTGCCTCCAAAGGCTCACCAAGGTTCCGGTTCCGCGTGCTGACGTTCCGCAGTCCCACAAAGGAACAGGACCGTCTTAACACAACGGCTGCAAATTACGCGGCTTCCCCAAACCCATTACTAAACTGCTAAATCCCCCTCCAATGCACTTTACATGCATCCAATTTGAAGATCATTATTACAGTCACAAACACTACATTTTCCTGAAAACACAGAGGAGGCAGCCGAGGAGACTCGGGCCTAATGACCATGGACATCGTCTCACAAGGAAAACAGTTGCAATAACTTCGGCCGATTTCAGTTTTACAGTTGAATCCAGCCGGGATTGTTTCCTGGGAAAAACGCATTTTTGTTGTTCCGTACCATGTTACTGTGAGCATTATCACAGCAAGACAGCCGTAAAACACCTTGAGAAGAAAAGGCCAATCGGCCGTTTTCTCCTTATCGCGTCCGTCCTGAAAACCGGCCCGGTGTTACTGTCAAATTTGAAACCTTGCGACTGCCCGCCCACGTACTTCTCCCGAGTTTCAGCTGGCTTGTGCTCTCAAACGTATGTAATATATGGGATTTTTCATGTCATACCATTAAAAATTAAGTAAATTCACCATCCACCTTACCACCACACAGCACCGCTCGCTTCCTCTTCAAGGCGTTCCCACAAGATGGCGGCTCCCTGTGGCCACGTCAGTGCACCGGATCTTCTTGGGGGGAGAGGAAAAATTTAGCAAATACACCACCCCCTCGAGAGCAGCTCTCGGAAACCGGGAAAACGCGGCGGCGTGGAGGACTTACTGCACGAGTTGGAGGGTGTCCAGACCAAGACTGATATGCCAGTTTGTTTAGCATCGTGTCTGTCAGTTTAGCAAAGATCACATTTGGTAAATTGCTTTGACTGGTAAATGTTTTCTAGGCTAATAGTACATTATGAAACGTGTATGTTCTATTAATTCATTTTTTATTAATGGAACACAAGTCAAATAATATCAAATAATGATAGCTGATGTGTGGTGAGCGTTCTGGCGCACTATGGCTGCCGTCGCATCATCCAGGTGGATGCTGCACATTGGTGGTGGAGGGGCGTCCCCATTACCTGTAAAGTGCTTTGAGTGGAGTGTCCAGAAAAGCGCTATATAAGTGTAAGCAATTATGATTAATTATTATTATTAAGTAATTCTTCGATGTCCCGAATGCTACCAGAATAACCGAATGACTGTTATAGTTCTAATTCAATAATATATGAACTACTGAATTCTTGCAAGACCAAAAACGTTCTATTCTTTTTCTTGAGTATACATTGTTATATGTGTTTGTGTATTGTAAATACTATTCCAAATACAAATACAATGACTCCCCCCCTCCTTGACTCGCAAAACATCTGCAACAATTTAAAGGGGGCAAACTAGTTTTATTTTTTATTTTTATTTTTTGAATATAGTTTTATTTATTCTATAGTGTCAGAAGCTTTTCTACATGTAGTTCAAATCATTGTTCAGTCAATTCCAGTTAATTGAGTTCCGTTTTTGATTAGTATAACTCAGAAGATCTGTTTGAAGGTTTATAGTCAGCTATCACATACTATCTCATCAGTAGGAAGACATGTGTTTCTTGCCAGACAACATGATGCTGCTGACCTACAATTACAGTACTTATTCTTTGAAACATTGCAAAAATAGAAAAAACGATTAAGGTGAAGAAACCATGCCTTTCAACTTGCTATCCTTTGTCACCTGACAGACCATAGAAATCTCCTACATCTGGCTTTCTATTTCTTTTCTGTCTTCTTCTGTACATTTCCGATGTAAATTTAAATTGGAAACCATTGGGAATAGACAAAACTTAACTTAAAATCTCATTGGTCTATGATTTCAAGATGATAGTTTTTACCATCTATCACATCATTTTGTTAACCGTTGTTGAACAGTTTTTGCAGGGACACGCAGAAACACTTTCATCACCCTGCAGCCTAAGCACCACTCTGGCATGGTTCAGGGAAATATAATCAATGAGGTGTAAGAAACAAGTCACATGCTCCAGTAGCTTCAGAAACTAGTATATTACAGACTGAAAAATGGCTGGAACAATTGGATTGCTATATTGCACAGTTACAATTGTATAAACCCTGACGTACTTACACCCAGACACTTGGAAACATCTTTCAGTTGTTAGTGTCTGTGAGAAAACCCACTACTTTGGCAAACAGCTCCTTCACTTTAGGAAGTGGGTAAGCGTGTGCTTCCATACAGCAACCCACTGTGATTTTATAACATCTGCAGTTCTGCAATGATACCTCTGCTTTTAGCATTACTGCATCGGGGACTTTTCTCAGGGCGTATGGTAAACGCTTTGCCTTGTAAAAGTGGGATTGCAGTCTGACTAAAAACATACTCCATCTTACATTTCTCCAGGGTGTGTTCTACTGTCATCAGGTATTTTACTCCCAGTCTAAATGAATGGGCGTTAACCTGACTCTTTCTGGCAAAGGCTGATGGGATTATGGAAGAAGCTCCATGTTGTTAAAGACCATACTCTGGCTTCTTTCAAGAAACAACTGGCCGATCATTTAACTACGAATTTCTCTAGATCTGGACTTGATATAGATGGGCAGAATGGACTCCTTGTGTTCTAATATTGGATTGTTTCCTTTTTCAACCAATAAACTAAAGCAAATCGGATTATAAAATACTGGCACACCAAGCTTCCCAACTAGAGTAATTTTCTCTCCCAAATTTATTCTCAGCTATAAAGATGTCTACTCTGAAACGCAGGTGTGCTAAACATTTAAAGTAAAGTGTTTCTGGCAGCTCCTATATCAACTTGCATTTCAAATAGGATTCCCTAAAGGCTCACTTGCACTTTTATTCCCATTTCATTGTCACTCACAGAAAAACTATACACACCCTGAGACTTGCATTAGCCACCAGTGCTTTCTTTATTCCTTTCTGCAATGAGCATTTCTGCATCTGTGAATTCTGCATGCTTTCTGTACCAATGCAGCTTTAATATCTATAACGGGTGTTTGATAAAAGAAATCTATAGTGGTAAAAGGTATGGTGTGAATGCTTTTGTATGTATATTTTATTTTAAATAAGCATTTTTTATAAATAACATTTTTCATAGGCTAAAACAAAAACTTTTGAAAATGAATCATAAATAAAAAATAAAACAGACCTTTCATTTGAGGTGTAGTGAAAGATTCCATTTGAATGTTTTGTTTAATTTTGTAAGGGAATAATCACCATCAACTGTGAAAAAGAATCCAGCTCATTTTTGTGCATACTTTCCATCCAGTCTTTATTTAATATATATTTACAATTGCTTTTGTATCTCCTATTTTAAAATATTTCTGTTCATTAGAATCCATCAGATTTTAATGACTCTTTCCATAATGACATTAATTATCCTGTAAGCTAATGATCCTTATTTTTATGAGATAATTCATTTTAAATTGCATAACTTTGTTTTTTTTATAACATAAAAGCCATGCCAAAAACCCTGTTGGGCATTCACTTGATTAAAAATACTTTCATTGAAATGTTTTCATAGATTTATTGTTTTCATTTATGGCATCAATTTTTGTTTCATGTACTTTTTTTAAATGCCATATATTATGCAGTGACATTTTTATCTGTGAAGAATACAAGGTGGTAAGGTATTTATTTAGGTGATTGTGTGTGTTTGGATTTTTATGATTAAGTAATTATACTCCTGAATGATAAGATTTAAATGCCAAGAGATTCTGTATCGCATTACATTTCAAAACATTTTCAGACAAAGGTTTGATTTTAACTGACCCCGGAACAATTTTAAATATTGGTTTTAATATGTTTAATTAAATATAGGTATGTGAACATAAGTTATAAATATAAAATGTATGGGGAAAATAACTCCTTCTTGGCATCAGATGTGTTTGAACATTGAATTAAACTGTAAAGTGGCTTGAAATGAAGAAAATGTATAAATTATAGTCTTTAGTGATCCTTGATGATCTTTTGCTTAACAACTTAAACTGTTAAACTTTGCTTAACTTAACAAACTTCTGTTACACTGCTGAGTTTAAGTTAAGAGTGACTAACTTTGAATATACTAAATTGAAGAACGTACTGAAAAATAATTGTTCGTTTTTAGAGGTTGGCAACTCAAGAGGGATCCGTAAAGCTATGGATTTGTGGACACCTGTTTTTTAACTTGAGTTGCTGCTTGAGAAATAATTTGGACAACAGATGGATTTCCAACTTAATTAATATAATGTCAGACGCTGAGAACAATAGGGTACCTCTCCGATCTCTCATCTACCCCAAGTGCCCAAGTTGTTAAATCAATTTCTCCATATCTTTCAGTTTAACTTCAAGTTTTTAATGACAATGATGTTAAAGTTCCGAAGTTAAGTGGTAGTTTATTACTCTATTGCATTGCCCTAAAAATGTATATTGGATGTTTTTGTTAATTTCCAAACAACTGAAATTTAGAGGTTTGCAACCATGAGTGGTTCATGGAATAAATATTTAAGGTGAAAAGGCACAAAAGGTGTGTTGATTCAAATGTTAATCAAAACAGTATATAAATTGATCAGTTAGTGGATGGCTGTAAACACTGTTTAGGGTTTGGTGTGGTAAATGAAAAAAAAAGGTGATTAAATTACCTATATTATACCTAAATTACCTAAATATACCTATAGATATATTTAGCAATTATTTTTACACTTATATTTTTACACTTCATTTTAACCGTATATGCAGAAATCAAGTAAAATGTACAGTACCCCCCAATGGTATACATTAAAAGTAACTTTTCATGACGGTTATTAAAAAATGAAATACTTTAAGATAATATGTTGTGCTTATCTAATTCGGTTTATGTAAAATCCCTGATTAGATGTCCAAATCATTTTCACAAAATTAGAGATTGAGATTTTCTGTTGAATGTACGTTGTTAAATATATTACAAGGAGTGTCTAAATTTTCCACCAAAGTAACAGTGTTCTCTGATATTTTAGTCAAGGAAGTGTTGCTATGCCAGTGTTGCACAGAACAAAATCAAGATGAAATTTTCCTATTCCAAGAAAATGAAGAATTTCTGTTGCGATATAAACAAGTTAGAGATCCAGCTTCTGAGATAACAGCATGTTCAGAGACCTGTTTTCCATTTATTTAGCCTTAATTTATTGGTTGTGTTACATAATGTGCTTGAGAGATAGAAGCATTGCTAACATGTACACTCTTTTTCCAGAAATGTTTTAGCCCAGGGGAGCATCAGTGTTATACTGCATTCCCCACCATCTCAAATAGCTCCTGGTATGTCACTGGTGTTGGCAGACAGCCTGACCTGAACCAGGTATGACATAATGAATTATTACATAGTTTAATAGGGCTGAATGTCAGGATGATTTTCCCATTGCAAATGAGAGGCAAACATCCAGAATGTAAAGATCTACCTCTGGGTATGTAATTTACTTTATCTCTAATTCCCAGTGAAATATGTCCTTAAGCAACATACTTAAGCAAAGATGTTGTTCACAGGGCCAAAGTGAGGCGAGAGAAAGATCTGGTGCCACCTTGAGTAACTACCTCAAAATAGTAGGGTCACTTTACTTGCATTATCAATATTTAATATAGAAAAACATTTATTTTACTTAACATATAAGGTGATACAATGGTAAATAGGTAAGTCAATCACAATAATAAGTACTCTATAGATTAAG